CAACATTTTACTTCTGGGACACTTGTTTCTGGTCACTAAATCTCTGCTTTTTTCTAAAAATCCAAAGATTTCCCACTCCTTGTTGAAGCATGAAAGCAGATTTTTTTCAGCCTAGTCTTCTCCCTTCCCTTTATGAAGTTGAGTTTGTGCATCCTAATTCAAGATAATTTCTGTGGTATGGAACTTTACAGAACACTGGTAGTCTGGCAGAAGTTAGCCTAGTGACTGATTGGCAGGTACCTAGTTACCAAGGAGAAACTAACTCAGAAAATCATGATGTAACAGTATTGACGCCTGCACTAGATCCCCCAAGCTGGGTCTCAGATCAATGGTCTAGAATCCACAAGACCGTATGTGAACTGATGGCAATCTTACTGCTCGCTCCCTCATTCCTTCTCTTAACATGATTTTTTAGGAATTGCTAGAAGGGTGGAAAATCATTACCTTCCCCTCCTCTAATAATGTGAGCCCATGCCCCTAACTTCTCCAAGGCAGATGAGGCCCTTGGGCGACTCACCCTTTTGAGGACCCAAGTGTAAAAACATTAGTCCCAACATCCTGTCACTTAAATAAGAAGACATTCATTCCTTATAAATAAATGCTGGTGGTTACAGTATAAATGCTGTGTATAGAAATGAGGACAAACTATAACTATAGGTCAATGGACTGTTGTGATCTCTTAAGCATGTATGCCTTTTGTCAATGCAGTGCAGTGCTTGTTGGGGAGGGCGGTGTCTCACAATTAGCTCTGGAGTTCAACTACAAGTGTTCTAAGAAAGGGTTAGTTTATATGTCAGTCCTAGGCCTTAACACATTCATGTGAGTCAGTTTTATAACTTTCTGTTCCTGGATGCATCCCTCGCAACTGTTAGTCCAGGCAGGCATGTGCTAAAATTACTTTTCTAAATGTTATCAAGCAAAGATGTGTTGGTTAGACTTTGCCCAATAAAAAATGTCTAGGAGTGGGTCTAAAACCGGTGTTGGCTGATTTTCTGTTCTTAGGAAATGGAGAGCTAGGAATAGAAGGATCCGTGTTAGTAGTTCTCAAACTTTAGTGTGTAAAAGACTCACCCAGAGAGCTAGGTTAAAGGGCAGATTAATGGACCCCAGATTCTTCTGGTGTAGTCAGTCTGGACTGAGATTTAATAAAACAAGCATGGCATGATAATAATGCAGGTGGTCTACAGTCTAACTCTGAGACACATTGTATTATGAAATCCTGTCCTCTGTCATTTGCTGAGATGCTCTTTACCTCTTTAGACTGAAAATCACAGCCACTCTTGTGGTTACATGGAACAACTTACTGTGATTAAAAAAAAAAAAAAAAAAAAAAAAAAAGGATGAACTTTATCTTCCAGGCTTTGAAAACGGTAAATGCACAGTCTTTTGTATGTGCCTTCAAGACACTTGAAAGTCACTTTGTGGCTACCACACAGAGATAGAGCAAACTTAGGGATGCCTCTCCCCTGTTTCATCTCAGAACGCCTCTCTCAGGACTCTTTGTTTCACCCAGGCACCTCAAGGTTTGGTGAAATAAAGCAACTCTTTTTTTCTCAAATACATTGTTAACCCTGGTCCAAAGGTTTAAAAGCTAGGATATATCGTTTTTTTATACCTGGATAGCTAAACTTTCTAAAATCTCTCCCCTCGTCTTTGGGAACCCAAATAGCTCATGCACAAAAGCCTGTGGATTTCCTTCCATGAGAACTGAAATACTATTCCCTTTATGCTAATGTTAATTTTCAGGCAGTGAACTTGGTTAACTATGAGAAAATACAAACTTTAGATGGAATGCATTATTTATAGTGAATGCAGAGCATCATTATTATCAATTCTTGTTACAAAATACACAGAAAAAATATCTTTTTGTTATTTAAATATGGCATGGCTACATTGAGAAATAGTACAGATGTTAATCCACAGCCTCTCAGCTGCATCCTGAGTAATCATTATTATGTTTTATTCTTATTTGGAATTACTAGTAATAGACTCTATATTTCTGTATGAAATTCAAATCAGGGAACACCAATGAATTGAGATGATTGATATTATATATACACACAAATAATTTTGGAATTGGGGACAACAATGGAAATATTTCTCTCTTAGAGAAAATCCACCAAACTTGCTGCTTTATTAGTGATCTTGATGAATAACATTTTTCATTTACCTTGGTGTGCCAAAAAATCACTTAATTCTTTACTATTGAAATGAGCTAACATTTGACCAGTACCTAAATTTGTTTTGAAAATATTTGTGTAATTGTTAAAAATCTGAAATGTAAATACCTGGATTTTAAACACAAATATTTTTTAAAGTGCATGTTTGTGTCCTTTTTTTTTTTTTTTTGAGACAGAGTCTTGCACTGTCTCCTGGGCTGGAGTGCAGTGGTGCAATCTCAGCTCACTGGAACCTCCACCTCGCAGGTTCAAGAGATTCTCCTGCCTCAGCCTCCCGAGTAGCTGGGATTACAAGCGCATGCCACCATGTCTGGCTAATTGTTTTGTATTTTTAGTAGAGATGGGGTTTCCCTATGTTGGCCAGGCTGGTCTCAAATGCCTGACCTCATGATCCACCATAGTGCTGGGATTACAGATGTGAGCCACCGCACCTGGCCATGTCTGTGTACTTTTATTCCATGATTTTATTTTGTGTCCTTTCATAAATCTTCTTTATTTTTGGTTGTTTAAACTTCTTATTGATGTGGTATTTTATACATGGAGTAAGGAGAGACAGTGGTAGTGGTAATATAATTCATGACATCTTTGAATGCAAATGAAATGTATGTATACATGTGTGTTTATGGGAAAATATTCCTGGCTGTTTTCTCTTTATTTGTTTTTGTGTTGTTTTGTTTTGGTTTGAGATAGCGTCTTGGTCTGTCGTCCAGGCTGGAGTGTGGTGGCAGTGATCATGGCCCACTGCAGCCTCGATCCCTCAAGTTCAAGCCATCCTCCCACCTCAGCCTCCTGAGTAGCTGGGACTATAGGTGCATGCCACCATCCCCAGCTAATTTTTTAATTTTTGGTAGAGATAGGGTCTCCATGTGTTGCTCAGGTTTGTCTTGAACCCCTGGGCTCATGCAGTCCTCCACACCTCACCTCCCAGAGTGCTGGGATTACAGGCTTGAGCCACCATGCCCAGCCTGTTTTCCCATTTTTAACTGATACAGAATCACTGGCCTAGTCTAATCGTATTTATTTATAGATGAAACATTTGAGGCATGTAGAGACTAGCTGATTTTTCTGAGGTCCTGGAGTTACTACTTGACCCAAGGCATTGAAACTCAGTCCATGGTCTTTCTGAATCCCTACCCATCTCTTTCTCACAACAAGATCATGGGCCATCCTCAGTCCCCTATAATAAGATAGAACTCCATTTGGTTATTTTGTCTTCTTAACTTTTCTTCTATTTCAACCTTAGCATGAAGTTTGTTTGTTTTGTTTTTTTTTTCCATCTGAGTTAAATGTTAAATGCCTTAGAAATTACCTTGCCAGGCTTTACCTAGATCCCCAAACCAACTTTATTCTTTTTTTCTCAGTACCGATGCACCTGAATGAATTCAGTCTCATCCTATCACCTATCAACAAAAGACTGGTTATGAAGTTTTTCCGGGATAGCAGTTGCAATTCTTGCCCTTCAGAATAATCACATATAAGGGGACTGCCAGCTGCAGGGTGATATTTAATGTAAATTTTACATCGTAACCTCTGGTGATTCTATCTTAAAACTCATCAGGCAATGACTAAGTAAGCTAATTGAATACATTAAAAATTAAAAAAAAAATACTTTGAAATAAAACAGATTCTTATTGATCACCGTGTATGTATATATACCACTGTACTTGATATAAAAATAGATAAGATACAGTCATGCTCTCAAGGAGCTTATAATCCAAACAAGGAAAAAGAAAGTGTACTCTATTAAATGCATTTAGTATAAAAAGATAAGTGTCTTGGGAAATACAGTTTTAAAATTATATGGTTAAAGAAAAAGGTTGAGGGTCTAGAAGAATCTTCTAGGAAAAAGAATTTGAACTTGATTTTGAAAAATGAAAATCACTTTTATGAGCATAAGTGGTGAGATGCATTTTGAACAATATTTATTGTATGCATAGTCTAGAAGCATATGTACTCTACACTGCCACTTAAATATGGTTTGTGGATCATTCCAGTCTTTGAACTTTGTTACTGCTCCATGACAAAATAAGTCTCAAGCATCCAGATTCTCTTACTGAGAGAAAGCACTTAGAAATGCATGGCTGTTTAACATGGCTTCATTATCCAAGCACATAATCAGTGGACTCAAGTCATTGCACCTGTTATAGACCAGTTTGGGTGTCGCTGAGTCACGTGTGGTACCAGCTATGTGATATTTATCCTAGGTAGACCATATATGGCTTCATAAGAGATTGGGAAAACAAAGAACCTAGTCCTTCACTGCAGATAATTTGAGAATAAAGACTGTAGGTTGTTCTTTATTTGCCTACATAGTCATTTTGAAAAATTGTTGTGTATATTAGCAATACAGAGCTGTTACTCTTATTGACTTATTTACACTATCGCCCTTGCTTCTTTCTAATGTTATCATCTCATTACAATACAGAAAAAATTTTAACTTTATGACACTAGAGAGCTATCCACAATGAGAGCAGCACAAAAGCAATACAGGAAGCACATACAGTAAAGGGGTAGGCTAAAGACAAACAGAACAATACATAGAGCAGAGAAAGGGAGACGTCAAGCAGCCTGTGCCTGGAAGTTGTTAGTAAAATTAGTGACCAATGTGAAATAAGAGAGCTCACATTTTCACTTCATCGTAATCCGCAGAAGATTAACCTCAATGGGAAATTTTCTTCCAGAAACTGAAACATAACCTAACCTGTTATGACTTACTATTTTTTGTTAATTTCTTTCTATTATTTTCTTTATGTTGTTGTTTCCTGTTGTTCCTATTTGGAAGGGATTCTTCATTTTGGACATTTTCTCTTCTCATTTCAGATGATTCCACACTGCATGGCCCGATTTTTATTCAAGAACCAAGTCCTGTAATGTTCCCTTTGGATTCTGAGGAGAAAAAAGTGAAGCTCAATTGTGAAGTTAAAGGAAATCCAAAACCTCATATCAGGTTTGTTGATTTAAAAGCATGTGTTTCCATGCATATAGTTACTGTTATTAAAATCAAGAAATACTTACACAATGCTGGTTACATAAAGAGATTTTATTTATTTGTTTGTTTGTTTATTTATTTATTTTTGAGACTGAGTTTTGCTCGTTACCCAGGCTGGAGTGCAATAATGCGATCTCAGCTCACTGCAAACTCCACCTCCCAGGTTCAAGCGATTCTCCTACCTCAGCCTCCCGAGTAGCTGGGATTACAGGCATGTGCCACTATGCCTGGCTAATTTTGTATGTTCAGTAAAGATGGGATTTCTCTATGTTGGTCAGGTTGGTCTCAAACTCCCGACCTCAGGTGATCCACCTGCCTCAGCCTCCCAAAGTGCTGTGATTATAGGCATGAACCACCATGCCTGGCCCAAGAGTTAGTTAGTTAGTTATTTATTTCAAGACGGAGTCTCGCTCTGTCAGTCACCCAGGCTGGAGTGCAGTGTGCGACCACTGCTCACTGCAACCTCCGCCTACCGGGTTCATGTGATTCTCCTGCCTCAGCCTCCTGAGTAGCTGGGATTACAGGTGTGCACCACCATGCCCAGCTAATTTTTGTATTTTTAGCAGAGACAGGATTTCACCATGTTGGCCAGGCTGGTCTTGAATTCCTGACCTCAAGGGATCCACCCGCCTCAGCCTCCCAAAGTGCTGGGATTACAGGCGTGAGCCACCGTTCCCAGCCCATTAAAAGCTTTTAGATGGGCATCGTAGGATATCCTGAAAGTCTAAGGAGATGATTGTTTCATGAAAACTAAGTATCCAACCTCTGTTTTTTGTAGTACTGGGAATTAAATATCCTGATTGACTTTCTCTTTGAAAACATTAACAATTCCTAACCACATATATTTAACTGAAAAAACACATTTTAAACCATATCAGTAAATTGGCAGGAAAGTAAGAAATGTCAGAAGTCCAAAAGTAAATGGGTTTGGAACCCAAAGAAGCTGAACAGTAAAGGCAGTTTTCATGTTAATAAACTACAAGTATGAATTGAGCTTTGGTTTTCATGGCTTCAGAGGAACAGAGGTCACAAGACAAAGCCTAGACAACCCACAGGAGAATCCAACATGAGAATATCTCCCAGAATAAACCTGGGATACAAGGACTACATCTTTAGAGTAAATGTGAACAAGAAATAAGCTTGACAGATTCTAAAGAGACTGTGAAGCACAGGTAATTGTGTATTTCAAACATTAAACCCTAGTGGTTGTAGTAGCAGATGAGATACAACTGAAAAGAGAATTTGTAAACTGCAAGATAGGTCTGAAGAAATCCTCCAGAGGCAGCAGAAAGAGACAGAGGGAAGCAAAATACTTTAAAAAGAAAGAGAGAAAAAATGTCTAATCAGGATTCCAGAAGAAACAAGAAAGACTGAGGCAGAAGCAGTATTTAAAGAGAAGGCTAAGAATTTTCCAAACTAATTAAAACTTTCAAGCTATAGATACAGGAAGCCCAATGCACTTCAAGCAGTACAAATAAAAATGAAGCCACATCTAAAATAGTGAAATAGTGAACACCAAGTCAAACAGATGATCATAAAAGTAGCCAAAGTTGTAATACAGATAACATTCAAAGAGATCACAAACTGGCAGCTGACTTCTCAATAGCAACAAAAAAGCAGAAGACAGAAGATAGAATCTTCAGTATACTGAGAGAAACTGTCAAATGTATAGATAGCCTAAATACTTTTTTAAAAGGAAAACAAACTAACTGCATTTTTAGGCAGCCATCAACCAAAGTCTGACTCCAGCAGACCCTCACTAAAGGAAATTCTAAAAGACATACTTGAGGCACAATAAAAGTGATTCCAGATAGAAGAGCTGAGCTACAAGAATAAATAAGTAAAGCAAATGGTAAATGTTAGTAATTCCACAAAAAAATTATTGCACAGAACAATAAAAAATAATAAAAATAATACTGTCTTGTGAAGATAAAAAGAAGAAAAGTAAAAATTCATGACAACATTAGAAACAAATTTTTAAAAGATGTACTAGACAGCAGATAATCTATATGGTTAAAGAAATGAAATTGGGGCCAGCCACATTGGCTCACGCCTGTAATCCCAGCACTTTGGGAGGCCAATGTGGGTGGATCACGAGGTCAGGAGATCGAGACCATCCTAGCTAACACGGTGAAACACCGTCTCTACTAAAAAAATACAAAAAAACTAGCCGGGCGTGGTGGCGTGCACCTGTAGTCTCAGCCACTCAGGAGGATGAGGCAGGAGAATGGCGTGAACCTGGGAGGCAGAGCTTGCAGTGAGCCGAGATCGCGCCACTGCACTCCAGCCTGGGCAACAGAGCGAAACTCTATCTCAAAAAATAAATAAATAAATAAATGAAATTGGAACCCTACTGCACTGCATACACAAAAATCAATTCCAGTGTATAGAAGACCTAAGTGGAAAATTTGCAATACTTTTAAAAGCAAATAGTTATACATATTTATGACTTTGGGGAAGGAAGAGATTTTCTAAATGTGACAGAAGCAGTGCAACTTGTAAAAGAAAATATTTAGCTGTATTAATATTGAAAACTGATGTTCAATAGAATAGACTGAAATAAGCAAAATTACAAGCTGTAAACTTGAAGATTTTTAAGTATATTTGTTATGGGTAAGGGATTCATATCCCAGACTATTTAAAGAATTTCCACAAACAGAATGTAAAAAACAACCCAGTGGAAACATTAGCAAAACACTTGAACAAGTACTTGTAAGAAAATGAAAACCAAAAATTCGGTAAACATAAAAGGATTGTCAATATCATTAGTGAACAGAAATATATAATTAAACCTACAACAACATACTCTTTCAAAACTATCAGATTGACAAATATAGAAAACTGACAATCTGTTGGTGAAGGTGTAGAGCAAACAGAACCCTTGATTGAACACTGCTGGTAGCAATGTAAATTGGTAAAAGCCACTGTAAAAAAAGAAAAAAAAAAGCACTCCCTAGTAAATCTAAAGATGCACATAATCCATAATCTATGATCCAGTATACATAATTATGTTCATAGTATATTCACAAATACATATAACCTGGTATGTTCGTACAAGGTAACCTCATGCAGTAGTAAAAATGAATGAATGGCAGCTGCGACAACATGGGTAGATCTCAAGAACATAATTTTGAGTAAACCAGTTCACAGCCAAATACATAGTATGTAATTTCACATTCACAATATTTGAAAGTGGTTGGGATGGAGTGGTTTTTCAAGGTATAAAGGAAGCAAAACTTTACCTCTCTTCTCTTAGGATTTTTCAGCTGAGCCTGAAAATTAAATTTACATAAAGCAAATCAAAAGGAGAAAAACATTTTTTTAAATGCAAGTTTTACATGGCAAGGAAGCCTTCATAAGACAATGAAAACCCAGAGACACAGTTATCGTTGCACATTTATATACTGAATTGGACAAAGAGTAGTAAATTGTGAAAAAGTAAGTTATATGGGGAGCTAGAAGAAAATATTTTAACAAGGTCTGGACAGAGTTTTCTCTGTCTCAACTTCCTGTCCTTGATGAAAAGAATGTTACTTTCCTTCTAATATGGAAAGGACATCTCTGGCATGGGGATTTCATCCCTTGCTCTTTAGAAGAAGAATGAAGGTGAAAGTGGTCCTCTTGTACCTGCTGTTTTCCGAGTACCTTTAACTCAAAATAGTCAATATAGGCTGGGCACAGTGGCTCACGCCTGTAATCCCAGCCCTTTGGGAGGCTAAGGCATTACGATGGCTTGAGGCCAGGAGTTTGAGAACGACCTGGGCAACATAGCAAGACCCCCATCTCTACAAAAATAATTTAAAAACTAGTCAGCCATGGGGGTGCATACCTGTAGTCCTAGCTACTCAGGAGGCTGAGGTGGGAAGATTGCTTGAGTCTAGGAGTTCTAGGCTGCAGTGAGCTATGATTACACCACTACATTCCATCATGGGTGACAGAGGAAGACCCAGTCTCTAAATAAATAAATAAATAAATAAATGTCAATATGCCAGAGCAGCATATTTTTAAGTGGCATGCTCTGAACTCCTTCAAAGGATAATAACATACAGGATAAAATTATAAAGAATATCACAGGAATGAAAAAGCCAAAATTAAAGATTATAAGTAACCATTAAGAAAGAGTGGTTATAATCAAAGTAGATACAGCAGACTTCTAAAGTGATAATATCCCTTTTAAACACAGATCTTCATTGGCTCATGATTTTTTATAACTTACATACATCTTATAAATATTATTATGCCTCTATTCAAATTTGATAATTAAAAACTATAATAACTAATATCTAATGTTATATAAAAACAGAAATATATATGTCATAGTTTAGGAGAGATTGGAGTCATCAGGTTGGGTTCTCAGAAGAAATGAGATTTGAACTGAGATAAGTAATTTTCAAATAGGCAGAGGACATTCTGTTCAAGTTAAAGGATGGCAGTATTAGTATAGTGGATATTATTTTAGAATTTATGTGCTCATTTATCCATTTGTTCATTTGTCAAACACATTCATTATTTGTCCTTCAAACCTCACCAGTGTTTTTCAAACTGAATTCCAGGGCACATGGAATTGGCTTAAAGATTACCAGAGAAAGAAAATAACAGAATTTTCATCCAAGATTCAGCCTTCGCAGGTCTACTTTGAACTGGGCCATATATTAGGATTCTGAAAAATATGTCATCTAGACAAAATATTTAAACCACTCTGTTAAGCAGCTGCAATGCACCAGGCACCATGCTAGGTCTGAGTATTCAAAGATTAATCAACTCTACAACATGTTTACTAGTACTATTAATTTGAGGACTGCCTAGATGTGGATGTAGTTGGAGTAGAATGAGGTAAATACAAGTAAAGGATGACCACGTTCTAGGTACTCTGGAGGAAAGAAAGTCTAATTCAGGATGGTGAGGGTAGATGTCACTGAAGGCTTCACAGAAAAGGAGATATTTTAATATATCTGGAGGGTGAATGGTTCTTTCATCACATGGATAAGGAAAGGAAGTGCATTCCAGAAAATAAGAAAACAACTCTCTAACGGACCATATAATTAGAGTGAACATGTAATTTATCATCTAAGGGCACTTTTTAAAGCAGAAGGCCACTGTTCATAATTATTCTAGGACAGCAGGTGTAAACCCAGCACTTGTCTTGGGCAAGCCAGAATAAATAGTTATTCTCCCTAGAATATATTAAACCCAAGGCTAAATCAAAGATCTTTAAATACTTTATGTAATAAAGAATGCAGGAAGCAAAGGCTCTTAGATACATAAACGATGAGTTAACTGGTTCCTGTTTTCCTTACATAGCCGAGTGTAAGTTCAGATGTTAGCCATAAATGAAAACAAATTTTGCAGCCGAATTTGGCAAGTTGCTGCTTTGTTTTTCCCCAAACTGTGACCTTTAATTAACATTGCTTTTGTAACATTGTGTTTCTAGATATAGGAGCTTGCCTTGTTATTTAAAACAAGCAGTGAAACAGAAACCTATTATGTTTCTAGATTGCCAGGAAACACTGAGAACAAAACTTTTTAATCAAATATACTAGCAATTTATTGCAGTGTACTTCTTGCCTTTATACCTTTGGCAGTTTCTCTGTAACATGATAGCAGACTGGTACCTGGGAGCTAAAAAGTTCCTCTTGTTGAAAGAAAGAGAAAGAGAAAGAATAGAGAGATCAGGCATTTTCAGACACTTTCTGCCTGAACTTTTTCAGTCTTCAGGCTGACTTTGAGGGGGAAGAACAAGTAGGAGAAATTCCAAAGTGAGTCTCCATGGGGATCTTCAGCACTGGGTTCTCCCCTCAGACACCGCAATTGACCTCTCTTCTTTGTGTCTATTCCCTCAACTGAGCCTTCTCTTTTCATTGTTTCCTGCCCCTCAATTTTGAAAGGGTTGACCCAGACCCAGAAAAATTTAAGAAGTTTTAACTTGTGCCAACTTCCCTTGTATTAAACTTCCCTAAGGATATATGACATTTCTTAATGCACTCAGCATCCCTTTCCAGATAGAAGAAATGTTCACATACTTGCTCGGGGTACTTTTGCTGAGGTTTGTATTCAACTGAGTTTGCAGAAAACAAATTCCAAGTCTTAAGTGCCCTGACTTTCCCTTAGTGCCAAGTTGAAACCATCAATAAAGAAAGAGGATTTCGCTACAGCGAATCCTATAGACACCCTCCCAGCAAAGCCACATTTTACCCTCCAGAGTGTCACAGCATAGGTGTTTGGTTGTGCACAACCCCACTCTCTGGAGAGAGTGGAATCATGGTTCCTCAAATGATTTAGAAATCAGCTTATGACACTCACAAATTTCTCTTATCCCTTGGGAAAATCTCTATTGGCTCCAAATGAGCATTGCCTCTATATTACCAACACTTAAAAGATTCCTCAAACATTGAAAGTAAATTGTGAAATTTTCAAGTGTGTTTCAGTATACAATGAGATAAGAAATTCAGTGTAACCCACATTCAGTTGGAATGAACAGTGACTGCATTGCAATAAAACTTGGTATAGTGCTTTGTAATAGAGACTCAAGTGCATTTCAGAAAAAGCACTTTATTTTCTCAATAATCCCTTTTCCTTTGCTGTTTGTATGTAAAAGCAGGTGATAAAGTAGATTAATGGACTTTCTGCACAGCATTTTAGTTGAGATGACTAGTGTAGACAAACCTACAGAGGAGCTCTCATTATGCCCACAACCACTTTTCTAAGAAGACTCACATGGTCCCACTCCTAAATTCCACACTCTGCTTGCAGCTCACATTATATTGCAGTTTCCTCGTTGAGTTCTTAGATTTGTCATATTAAATTGCTCTACTATCATTTGAAGTAAGTTATGGCCAAGACGTGATCAGCTGACTCAAAAAAAAAAAATGTCTAGGGCAGACAGTCAGTTCTAGAGATTCATGTGCATATAGAGCTGCTAGAATATAAGCTGGCTGTTCTGTCTTTATTGCGTATTACTTTCTTGTCTGTGTCAGAGCACAAAGAATTACTGTGGAGACTAAAAACATTGTCAGTTTCTAATCCCAATCTTCTTATACACAAACACATAAAGAGTTACCTCATTTTTCTATTTCATGCTCCTGGTCTACCTTTCTTACCTCTCTTGTTTCTAAATTTTTACATTTCAAAGACATGAATAAACATATGTAGCTGTGTGGTAGTGTGCTGGAATGCTTCATGAATTGTGGATGTTCAAAGCTAAAATATCCAGCAAAGAAGTAAAATATTTAGTCAATTAAATTCAACAAGCATTTATGGAGCACAATGAGAGTGTTAGATTTTAGATGGCTAAAGTGAGAATACAAAAGCGATGTAGGCCAATTATCTACAGTAAAAGCAGCATTCCTACATAAAGGAGCATGGACAATTCTGCAGGAGACTGGATAAAGCTTTGCTTAATTTTTGTTGTTTTTGTTTTGAGATGAGGTCTCGCTCTGTTGCCCAAGCTGGAGTGCAGTTGCAGTGGTGTGACCTTGGCTCATTGCAGCCTCAATCTCCCAGGCTCAAGTGGTCCTCCCACCTCAGCCTCCCGAGTAGCTGGGACTACAGGCACGCATGCACCACCACACCTGGCTAAATTTTGTATTTTTGTGGAGACAGGGTTGTGCCATGTTGCCCAAGCTATTCTGGAACTCCTGGGCTCAAGAGACCTGCCCACTTCGGCCTCCCAAAGTGCTGAGATTACAGGCGTGAGCCACCGCGCTTAGTCATCTTTGGTTAATTTTGACTAGAAATACTGAGGAAGACTTCATTGAAAGAGGTGTCATTGAAAAATGGCTTTGAAGTGGGACAGAGGTCTTGACAGAAAGAAGGGATTACCCTTCTGTATATTTGCTTTTGTTGATATCAGACATCCAAAATCTTGAAACTAACTCGCCTATATTTTTTTCATTTAAATCCTTTTACATTGTGTACAGACAACCATAGTACCCAAGAATGTTATAAGATGATATACAATGAATGTGCATGTGCACACACACAAATGTTTAAATGGTGTTTTTACTATTTAAAGGAGATAAGATTAATGGCTGTCATTCCTTACTCCCATTATGAATTTGGATCAGTTTTCTTTGTTCTGCTGTATTTCTTAATTTTTAACATTCTGATGTAAATGCTACTGTGATACTCCTGGTAATTCACAAACTCCTACTATGCTATTTTCATTAGTTAATATTCTGTGTAAGATTTGTGGGGGTAAACAGATAAGATAGTCACTGAGTTGTATTAGTGCCAAAGTTCTTAAGTATTTAATTGACTTCTGAAACGAGTCAAGATAAGCTCACTGTTTGAAATGGTGTTGGTTGTAAAATGCAACAAAAACAAAAACATAGGTCTTAATTACCAAAACTTTGCTGTTAAAATGTGTAAGTCCTACTAAACCTACTTTACTGGGCTAAATAGTCACATACATAGGTGATCCAGGTAAATAAACAGAAGGACAAAAACAAACAAACAAACAAAAAAACCTCTCTTTGCCCCGATTATCTAATGGTCTAATCTGCAGTTTCCTGGGATGGTTGATTGATGTTTGTGTGCCAGTGGTGAAGGAGCTCTTCAAAGTGATCCAAGGTTAAGGCAGGTTTGGTCCCCACGGCAGCTCAAGATCAATAGAGTTCCTCTCTACAGCCAGCCATTGTAGTCATATTAAGGAATAAATCAAAGCAACTCTGCTGCAGTTTCATCAGATACTCAGCAATCTACCTGGAAATAGTATATGCTGTCATCTGTATAGACCCATTTAAAGAATGATTGCAAACTAGAAAGACTTTTACTAACAAGCCCCGTTTGAAGAAAGTTGCACAGGTGCTATGAGAAATCTGTGGCCGGACTTCAAAACGGTGAAGTGTTTGTACCATGATAAGTAGTCAGAAAAACAGTTATTAAAATTTTAATATCATTGTTTACTTTAAAAGACATGTTATTTCCATAAGCTCTTAAGATGTTACCATTGCTGGGTAGAGCATTTCTAACTTCTTAATCATACTTTTTAAAAAAAGTCACAAATGATTTTTCATGCTATTTATAGTTTGTATATATTTTAGACAATTCAAAAATATTGATTAATATGACAAGACTTTATCTACTGGCATTTTTATACTATAGGTGGAAGTTAAATGGAACAGATGTTGACATTGGTATGGATTTCCGCTACAGTGTTGTTGAAGGCAGCTTGTTGATCAATAACCCCAATAAAACCCAAGATGCTGGAACCTACCAGTGCACAGCAACAAACTCGTTTGGAACAATTGTTAGCAGAGAAGCAAAGCTTCAGTTTGCTTGTAAGTAGCAATTATATAATGCTGCAAATGTTACTTTGAGTTTGTTTACCATTATACCAATACGCTTTTATAGCAGTTTCATTTTAGAGACTAGATTTTAATTTGTTACATGATCATCTTTACCCTTTTTCACGTTTTGGAAATAATTTTGTTTGTAGGATAAACTGTAAATCTAAGTGAGGAGATATATTCTTCTACTTTGATAAGGATTGAGATAGTTTGATTGTATGATAATTTGATTATATGATGCTTTCTTTATATACAAATAAATTCACACACTGAGATTGACACATGTATAAATTTATGTAAACAACAAATTTTACACACACACACATTTTAAATAGAATGTGTATAAGCAAGAAATTGAACTGCCAGTAATTTAGTAGAGAATAAGAGAAGTACTTTAACCATAAAGGTCAGAGCTGGAAAAAAACTGAGTAGTCAATTAATCCTATAATTCTCAAATTGTTTCTTATTTCATAGGCTAGAAAAAGCTTTAAAGCGACTGCAATAATGACAAAAAAATGGAGACAAAGTGTTATCCACCTTTGATATTTCCAGTTTAGAATGTTTAAAAAAACAAATAACCATATCTTAAGACCACCATTTAACAAAAGTCCATGAATGTGTGAAAGAAAGTAGAATTTAGAAATCACAATTTGAAAATAAAATCCATAGGCAAGAGCAGTTAGCATACATTTTAGCATAGCCACCTTCAAGGATTGATGTTCAGCTACACTTTTAAGGGTTTATGTATTTGCATGTGATTATGTATTTCCTTGTGTGAAATTCCAACTCATATAGCAGTGCATGTTGGCATTAGCCAAAGGTTTCATAAAGTCTGCTGGCAGTAACACTGTAGAATATTCTCATTAACAAAGTCCTCTCCAGGAACTCAACATCAAATGTACCTAATATCCAGTTCTTAATCTATTAATGCCATTTGGTGGCATTTTTATAAGTTGAGAAATGAATTTTCTAAGTATTATGTATATGCAAGGTTCCAGGATTATTTGGTTAGTGAATGTCTCTTGAGATAGTCTTCTAAATATTCTTAGGTGTTCAGAATAATAGGAGAATAATATGTGCGATTGAATATAACAGAACCAAAGTATTTATTTCTCTTGGTTTAATACAAGTCTTATATCTATATTTATTTTTTAGTAATGACAAATCTTCTTGAATTAATTTTTGGAAATAACCATAGAATCATGTACTCTCAGAGGAGGGGAATATCTCAGTATTTAATAAATCTTGTAATTCTTTGAATTTTGGATGTCATAGTGTAGGAAATTTTTAACACAGTAACACCAAAAAAGAAAAAAAAATTGAGATAGAGATACTATACCCAGGCCGGGCACGGTGGCTCATGACTGTAATCCCAGCACTTTGGGAGGCCTAGGCGGGCAGATCACGAGGTCAGGAGATTGAGATTATCCTGGCTAACACGAAGAAACCTTGTCTCTACTAAAAATACAAAAAATTTGCTGGGTGTGATGGCAGGCACCTGTAGTCCCAGCTACTGCGGAGGCTGAGGCAGGAGAATGGCATGAACCCGGGAGGTGGAGCTTGCAGTGAGCCGAGATTGCACCACTGCACTCCAGCCTGGGCGACAGAGCAAGACTCCGTCTCAAAAAAACAGAAATACTATACCCAGACTTTTTTATTACTAGCTTACATTTAAAAAAACAAATTACCAGCTTTTAAGATTATCCTTTTGTGAAAGACCAGGCATTTTACTACCAAAACATCAGAAAGATGGAATCTCATATTCAAGGACAGTCATTTAAATGGAATAGTTTAACCAAAAAACAAAAAAAAATCTACCACTCAGTTTGCGGTGGGTTGACTTGAGGACCTACCAGGAAATGGAATCCAGTTTGCTCATTCCACTTCATGTGTGATGTTGGCATTCCTCCCACCCTCAAAATCCTGCGCTGATCATCATTTGGTTTGAAAAATTCTAGTGACAGAAAGTTCACCAATTCATCACAAGGCACCTTGGGCCACAGTAGACTGCTCTAGTTGTTCAAAAATACAAAAACAAACTTGACATCTCTGTCTTAAAATTGAGCCAAATATCTAAATTTCTATCACATTCACTCCCAGTTCTTACTATGAGATGCTAGTTACTCTTCAAATATGTGAAGATATGATCATGTCCCTTGTCCCATAAATTCTTTTCTTCCCCATTTACTTAATCCACAGCCATATTCTTCACAATACACTCAACTATGTTAATTCATCTATTATAGTCTTATGGAAATGCACAGAATTCCATATATGTACCTTAACTTTTTCTGAGGACACTGGGAACAATAGTATCTCATGATGTGAACTTTTTTTCAGTTAATGAAGCTGACAATAATATTTATTTAATCTTCACTTTTAAGTACCATTGTAACTTTATTTTAAGCATATAATCATGTAAAATCTGAGAAAGGATTTCTTATAAATTTCTATTCATCCAGAGCTACCCAACCATGTTGTTTTATTAACCTAAATTCGGAGTATTATATTTACCCCTAATAAATTCATGTTCTGAGTAGTGACCCTTTGTTCCATCATATTTGAAATTGTTTTAAGTTTTTTTTTTCAGTCTGACATATTGATTGTTCTCCTAGTTTAGTGTCAGCAGAAAATTTGATAAGTGTGTCTCCATTCAAATAATTGATACAACATGTTGACCAAGACAGGGCAGCATGTCACTAGAGAATTTCCACTAAAATGAAATTAAACCTTTAATTTAATATTATTTGGACACTCTTGTTCAACCAGCTACAAATTTAGCCAAATATACTATAATTGAACTCCAGTTTCACCCACATGGTTTTAAAGTAGTGACAATCTTTGCTAAAGCCTTGCTAAAATCAAGTCGTATTGTTTCTACAACATCCAGCCCTGCCTGCTCTCTCTGCATCTTCTTGAGCTTTTCCTTAACCATTTATCGTAAAACTGCCAGAGTAATCTTTTAAAAAATGTAAATTAGATCATCCCGCTTTCCTGCTTTATGCCTTCTAATGTACTTAGAATAAATCTCAAACTCATTACCATGGTCTCATTTTAATTTCTCAAAAATGACAAATTATTTTTTGCAACAGGGTCATGATACTTTTGTTCCCTCTGCCTGATAAGCTTTTCTCGTGATCTTTCACGCAGCAGACGTCTCATGATCCTCACTTCTCAATTTAGGTATGACCTCCTAAGAGAAAGTTTCCATGTCACCCTAACATAACAAGCAATTTCCATCATTTCTCGTCCTCTCTGCCGACCTTCTTCCAGCCCTCTGCTTTTACAAAACAGTATCTTTTACTTACCAGAATTTTTTTTTTTTTTTTTAAAGACTGAGTCTTGCTCCGTTGTCCTAGCTGGAGTGCAGTGGTGCGACCTCAGCTCACTGCAAGCTCCACCTCCGGGGTTCAAGCTATTCTGCATCAGCCTCCAAAGTAGCTGAGATTACAGGCCCACACCACCACGCCCAGATAAGTTTTTTGTATTTTTAGTAGAGATGGAGTTTCACCAGATTGTCCAGGCTGGTTTCGAACTCCTGCCCTCAAGTGATCCACCCGCCTCAACCTCCCAACATCATGAGATTACACCACGCCCGGCTCAATTTACCAGCATTTAATACAATCTAGAATGATTGTATATTTACTTTTTTCTCATTTATTATTTCACTCCTATGGCAGAACATGTATTTTAAGAGAACTGAGACTATCTTGTCCATCCTTGTATTTCCTAGCCATTTATATGTTTGAATAAAGGAATTGCTGTGTTACATGCCCATTCAGTAACACAACAAAGAAAATATATGTATAAAGTTAATTTGAGGATGAGGTATTTTTATATACCCAAACCCACCCTTTCTATTCTAGTAATTTTCTGGAGTTTATCTTCTTGATCATCGATCCATAGTTTCTAGATGTTTTTCCCTATCTTTTTAAAATTAAAAGAAAATCAAAAGACGTTGCCTGTATTCAGCATTCACTTTCAATTGGTTAAGATAAAATCCTTTTCTTCAGTGAATTAATAAAAGTGAGGCAGGACAGTGACATCTTTTGAATGTTAGTAGTTTCTGTGACTCCACGTATTGTCATAGTCATTGAAGGAAAAAAAAAAAATGTTGCTTTTTGGCCACACTTACTGCACTATACCATGCAAGTGAGAATATTTCTTCCTCTTTAATCATACGATTGTATGGTTGAAAAAGACATTAAAGGTCTCCTGGCCTGTATCTTTTTAAAAATGAAATTGAAGATTAGAGTAACTGAATTAGTCATTGTTAATACACAGTTAATAAGTTACAGAGCCACGGAAAGGCAGTCTTCAGCTCCCAGTTTCATGCATGCTGGTCCTACTTTGCTTTAGATTCACTCTAATTTATAAGAAAAACAACCCTTCACTTTTATTTACCGTGTTACAATTTTCAAATCTCATTTATATACTTTCTATAATTTTATTCAGAAGATAGTCTTATAAGGTAGACAGTATTTCTATTGATTATTAAAAATGTTTTCATGCTGCTTTTGTGCACAGGATTTAGTCATGTCTTGTAATAGCATTTAGCATTTTTAAGTTGAATTAATTCACATAAGCAAAATTTATAGCTAACTAGAGATGAGACCGCTAAGAACTTGCTCTTCCTCTCACTTTTTTAAGTCAATATATTTAGAATAGAAATCCTTCCTTGATTAAATAAGGATAGCATAATTTAAGTCCCCCTTGATGAGATATGGATAAGCATACATTATTGTAATGTAATTGAGAGCACATTTGGTTTTTCAGTCTCTCTGCAGTATTAAGCCATCAGCAATCACTTCCCTCACTGTCACTTAGCCTACTACCATACCCTTTCTACCTTTTAGTCCTTCTGTTTCACCTAGGGCTACAAATATGATTGACTAGATCCTCTGTGCCTGGCACTTAATAAACTTGAAATATGAATAAGAATTAGACATTAAAGTCATCATGCCATATGTGGGGCATAAGGAATGAGTTGA